CGTGCATGTGCACCTGTGCGTGTTCGTGTGCATCTCTGAAGAATAAACAATAATGCCTATGTGCATTTCTATGTATGTTTGCACATGTATGCATGACCGTGTGTGCTTACATTGGTGTTGTGTGTGTATGTTTATGCTTATGTTTGTGGTTCGTGGCGATAATAGTGGGGGGTAACTACTGTTTCGAGTGCTTCCACTATACCTTGTTTGTCTTGGGCTATGCCATAAATGTGTGAGAGAGAGGCAGGTGGTGGGAAGACATGGAAGAGTCTCAAGGCATAAGACAATGAAGCGAGCAATTGTTCGATAGGGCTAACACCGAGACTAAGAGACGGCATGGAATAGTGACAGAAATAAGGAACACAAAGATGTAGTTGTTCCATGCTTTTTCTCAATCTTGCTTTCCTTCTAGATTGATCCATCTGCTCTTCTCTCTTTCTATGTGTTTTTCTCCCAATATTAGCTTACATTCTTGTTGATTCCTGCTGTTCCTTAATCCTTGTATGACCCTTCTCCTTGATGACTTAGCAGACAACCATGTTTTCAACATGCTTTAGGAAAATTTAAGTCTGCGCCATATATCTTTTCTAGTTTTGGTCTTCATCACAGTAACAACAGCAAGTTCATTATAGGAATGCTTTTTTAAATTGCAATAGCAAATCGCATCCGAAACTTCCACATATAAATGCAGGTTTTATATGTTTAATTTGCAATTACATTCAAGCAATTTTCTTGAATTCATGAATTTTATGCAGCAAATTGATATTATATGTTTATGTCAAATGTCTTGCAAGTGCCTTTGAGAGAAGTCCTCTTATAGATAGCAAGTTGGAGTTTTCACTAATATTATTGCATGTGATTATACCAACACAGGTTGCAATATTTGTTGTTCTGGCAATGACCTTAAGACGGAAGCCTGACACACTTGTAAACCTTTTGCCCAAATTAAGGGACAATCCTCGATATCAAGGACAAGAGAAACTCCCAGTTCTTGTTTGGGTTATTGCTCAGGTGATTTGTAAAACGTCCAAATTGAATGTTCGACTCAAGGTTGCAAGGCTACAATGTAATATTGTTGTTAAATTGAGAAGATTTCTATTTTGATAGGCTTCGCAGGGTGATCCAGTTGTCGGAATGTACTCATGGGCACATTACCTATTTCCTGTAGTTTGTGGAAAATTGCAGGCGAACCCACAATCTCGGGACCTGGTTTTGCAATTGGTTGAGAGGTTTGCTCTAATGTTAAGTTGACCTAATAATAAGTGTGTTGTTTTGGTGTTTGATTCAAAATTTAGTTTTGCATTTTGTTTGTAGAATTCTTGCAGGGCCGAAAGCTCGAGCTATTTTATTAAATGGTGCTGTCAGAAAGGGAGAACGCCTAGTGCCACCTACTGCACTTGATTTGCTTATGCAAATGACTTTTCCTGCTCCTGCGGCACTGGTCAAGGTCTGTTTGTTTCTGTATGAGATGCTGCCTATCATCCAGTTTAAAGTTTAAGACTAGCATTCCTGAATTGTGGGTTTTTGCAGGCCACAGAGAGATTTAAAGCGGTGTATCCTACTCTAAAGGAGGTGGCTCTCGCAGGTTCTCCTGGGACGAAAACTACGAAACAAGCATCACAGCAGCTTTTGCCTGCTGCTGTTGTTGCAATTCAACAAAGTATAGCTGAAATCCTTGGCATTGTACATATGTTCTAGATTGATGCTCCAATTTTTATGGCTTTATTGGTAACTGCCACCTATTTGCAGACATTCCAGAGCTAACAAAAGAAGCGGCAGATATATTCATCTGGTGTTTGACTCAAAATGCTGAGTGTTACAGGCAGTGGGTGAGTTGTTCTTGTAGAGATTTAAATTTCTCATTCTTCTCCTTTTTCAAAGAAACCATTCTGATTGCTTTAACTGGTTGATTGTGAAGGAAAAACTTCACCTAGAGAATGTTGATGCAAGTACTGTTGTTCTCCATAAACTCTCAAGCGAATGGAAAAGTTGCGCATCCAAAATCTCTCCCGAAGCTCTTAGAGTAACACTTAAGAATTTGAGGGCTAAAGTAAGTAATCACTTCCAATAATTTTGTTTCTGGATGTTGTATCAGTTGCTTGACACATGCTCTTTGGTTTGAATAATTGGTACTTAATATCGGAACCACGGAATTGGTTGTTAATTTCAATTATATTAGTATGTGTGTGGATCAGAGTCTGAAATATTTGGTGCCCTTTTGTACTTCCTGTTATGCAGAATGAGGAAGCCCTGTCTCAGGATATGAATGCCAGCAAACTAACATCAATCAAGGATGCAGATAAATGCTGCAAGGCAATCCTTGGGAAGTTAGCACATCATTCTGGCTACATGAAGGGTGGTGTGTTTGTGCTTGTGCTTGCGGTTGGAATCTATTTTGCCCTCTTCCCAAGTTTGGAGTCTTTTGACTGGGAGAAACTTCGTGTGGTGTTTAGTTCTCTTCAATCCTCTGTGAAGAACTTCATTCAACCTCATATTGGTAACTAAAGAGAGAGAACAAGAAAGTACGAGAAGGTTACATCCTATACCATTGGTTTTCATCTTGGAAGGAGATACCTAGAAATGACCATCACAACATCCTCAGGTCTTTAGGAAAGGGAACTTATTTCTTAATTAGTTTTGAGATATAGGTCGGTCGAAATGGTTTTATTCAGACTAAAATTTTCGTGTATCTTTTTCTTCATAGCAAAGCGGATCTTGTTTAATAGGTTTCCTGTTGCTTGGTAACCTTAATTGTGGATTGAATTGGATTCACAACTTAAGCTCATGATTTCTGATTGCCGTTAACCATTTAGCTTTATGATTATTTTCCTGTGGTGGGTTTATTGCTGTTGAATCTTTGACAATGGTACTACTTGCATGATCAGTAGCTATAGCTATATATATATTTACTTGGAATTTACCCACACACACATATTGTGAATGGTTTCCAAGGTTGAGATTATATTAATGTGTTCATTGAAACGGCGGGGCTGCTGTTGCTACAGAACTTAGAACTATGTTTCAATTCCAGTACTAACACAGAGATACAGAGCGTTGGGGGCTCTATTCATTACAACATCATAGAGCTCATCCCCATTCTCTTGGAACCTAAACTTCACCCCAAGGCTCTCCATGTTGTGCTCATATTATCGATACACCAAGTTTTAGCTTGAAAATAATCTGCAGTGCATATTTAGATTAAATCTTAATATATGCATGTCAAAATCACCTTGATAACAAACATGTTGATGACTTTAAGAATTCGAGTCCCAATCCAACTGATCAATAATACAATCTCCAAAAGCTTAAGTTGTTATGCTGCAAAATACAAAATATATCTATCATTCAGCTCTTTCGATTCCTGACAAATACAAAATATATCTATCATATTTTGCACACACAAACTAAATATTTGAGTTTAAACTCAGCATATCGATGCATTGTTTCCGACCCCAAAATATAAATGATGGTTGCCAGCCGAAGGCTCAGCAATTTAGCAACAGCCTGCCTTTTTCATGCAGCATGCACGGCTTGGCTTGTTCATCAACCACCAACTCATCTTCGTCTCTTCTACGCCCAACAGATTGGGTATTGAGATTGAAGAAGGAAGAGGCAAAAGCCGAAAGCAAGAAGTAAATAGCTTCTCTGAACTCTTCCATGCCCATTCTTCACAATCTTTACGTATTACACGCCAATTATTATTGAGTAGGACCAGTCGATGCTTCCCACCACATGGAGGTCATGAGGACTCCTCCGACGCAGGTCAAAAGGAGTTCCTTCCTACGTTCCGCTGCCTCCGATCTCGCCCATAACATTTCCGGCGAGTTCCATTTCCAATGACTCCATGCATCATCGAGAGCACTGCATCTGCCGCCACGTTCCACCGTGCACTGGAGCTGCCTAGCCATCGACAGCCTCTTTGTCGCTTCTCCGGCCCGCAGAAAGGATAACGTCCATCGACGAAGCTTCCTCGTCGGCGATCATTCGCCATCCGAGTTGTTCCTTTCACGGGCGCTGTGGCATTTATTTCTCTGGCGTCAGCTAATCCGCCCTTGTCCGAGCCGTCAAGATGTCTCATTTGGTACGGCTGCAAGATTGTCAAGCGAGGAGTCATCATCATCCTCCATGGGGGGGCACTTCTTCGGGACAAGGCAAAGGAAGCTTGGTCTGCAGCCAAGCGACCTGAGAAGTTCATCGCAACATGGGAATGCTTCTCGATCAATTATGTCGAGGAAAATATGATCATTACTGATCACGTGAGTGTTGGCCAAACTCTCTCGCTACGTGTGCATGGTAACCAGTGATGACACGTACGTAGGTTTCGACTTGAGGCTCTCATGATTGGGATGTCTTTCATTGCGAGCACGGCGGTGGGTGCCATGCAAAAGGAACGCCATGCATTCCCCTTTGGGGCACTGTAGATGGAAATTGATTGTTCTGCCGATGCGATTTGGAAGTTCTCGGATGTGGATGACCACGTCCGTCATGTCCACATAATAAAATGTACTCTCGGATTCTTAATGTCTCCTTCCGTTTACGTTAATAAGAAATCTACGTTGACAAGCATATTTTGTCCCGTTAACTGTATCCTTAATTGGTGTCTTTTGGAGGTTCATGGACAATAATAATATCCAACCTAAAAATGGACAATTTCTTACACGTCTCTATAGTATATAGACTTTCCACAAGTCAAAATTTCTCTCTACCCTCGTTTAGCATCTGCTCGTAAGATTGCGATCTCAAACGATCCAACAAAGATTACGAAGAAGGAAAACAACTAGTCGAAGAAAGTAGTAGTGTCACCATCTGACACGGCACGTACAACAGAGCTCTTTACAGATAGAGTTACGCCTGCCACATCAGATCTAATTTAAATAAATCATGCTAAAAAACGTGGCTTATTTCTTGCCATTCAGTTGAGATAGATAGCAACATCAAGTACTGAGTCAAAGTGGACAGATGCAAACACGGCAAACACAAAAAGAAGTAAAGCTTATATATATATATATATGTGCATGGGAAAATACATGTGTGCCATGCACGAGTAGATGTAATCAGAAATGGCAGTCGAAGCAAAGAGAGAGAGAGAGAGAGAGATGCGAAAGGACAAACTACAGAGGAAAGCCGGTGGTACAACCCCCATACTCCTCTCGCACCGGTCTCACAGCTGCCTCATCTGTCTCCTGCCCATCACCTGCCTGCAGATATATGAGAAACAAGGACTAGTGTCCCTTCAGGCATTAACTCCACGAGTAGGGGTGTATATATGAACAATCTCAGGTACACAAATCAACTTCATTACGACTATGTTTTACAGTGCATTAATGTGCGGCAGAGTACAACACAAGAAGAAGCCAGTGGCTGGCATCCATCAGAGAAGGATGAACTCTTCTTAAAGCACATAATTAGGTTGACTCCGAGTATTTAACATTACCTAGCTAAATTATATTAACTCCAAACTCTGGCCCATTGGAGGATGTTAAGTTCACTATAGTCGTTAGAAGTGGCACGATCAATCAATTCATTTCTTAGCATGCTCAGTCATTGGTATCACAGCAACTGCAGAGGTGTGGTTAATATCATTGGTATCATCACATCAACCGTATTGGTATCACTTTGGCATAACCTTTCATAAAATTGTTGTTGTGATGTGTGTGGGTGTGAGAGAGCATAAGAACAAGGGAGTGGTCCTCGCTCTTCTGCCTCTCTCCCCAATGGAACCGCACATGGACTATATATTCACACGGCAAGGATCACCTGTAGTGTGGAGAGAGTCTCCATGCCCATGTCGAAGCAGCAGTCGTAGAAGGAGCTTGCAGCCGAAAGTTTCAGCGAAAGGAACTGTATCAAGACAAAACAGCAGGTGCTGAAGAAAGCAAAACAGAGTGACAAGAAAACCCCTCGGATCATGAACAAGTCTTACCTCAACTTGGTTCTGCAGTGATTGTACATAGTTAATTATCTCGTCGAGCATTCCGGCCATGCCCATGGCCTGTAATCACCATGGCCTCTCTTTAGAATATTCACTAAGTAATTATTGAATTGCGCGTAACAAAAGCCGACAAGCTTCCTTGTGGACTATATTTACCTTGTAGCAGCCGGGAACCAGGCCTTGTAAACAGCGCATTCTTTCATTAATCCTCTCTCTTCTCACCTGAAGCCATTAACGAATCATGTATAAACAAACAGGTAAAAAAATCATCAAACTGATGAATGCTATTAGTCGATCAACACTAGTTTCTTTGTCGGTGATGGGAGTTTCCGCGCTTACCCTCTCGGCTAGGCTGTGGCTGTCAGTGGCTTGGCCTCTTCTTGCCCTCACATGAACCACCTCTTTGAGCTTCTCCGCTTTCCTCGAATTGCCTCTCGCTCTCTTCCCACCCCCTGAGCGCTGGTAGGTAAAATCCAAGAAGAAGGAACGACAGAAAGAAAACGTTGCTTGCACCTCCAAAGAATATAAGATTATAGACAATCGAACAATAAGCATAGGACAGCGCACGTTACTACTATTCTTCTTGATCTCGAGCACTCGCAAGCCGGACTCCGAAAGAGCTGCCGAAGCGTGTTCGCTGTTAGAAACAGGCGCCTCCATGCCCTTCCTTCTCCTGTCTCCCTGACTCTGCTCAGCCACAGGCGCCTCCATGCCCTTCCTTTTCCTGTCTCCCTGACTCTGCTCAGCTACAGACGCCTTGGACTGCGGCGGCGCCGCGGGTGTTTGGCATTCTGCCGGCAACAAACCAGACACGTGATCCGGAAAAGGCATGCCGAGCTCAGACTGGTGGGACAAGTAATCCTCGCTGAAAAATCCCACGACTCCGGAGTCTGGAATCTCCATGGCGGATCCATTTAGCTCTTCGAGTTGGCCCATCAGCTCCAAGCTCGAGTCCATTTCCACGCAGGAGAGGAAGGGCTTCAGGCAACTCAAGCTCTCGACAGTCTCTCCCATCACAATAAAATAAAATGATGAAACGGAGGAGGGGAAGAAAGGTGTGCATGAACGAGCCGGTGCCCTCTGCTCAGAATATATCCATGACTGGTTGAAGGATACATGCTTAAACACCCCACAATGGTTAGATTTAAGTAATTAGGAGGGGATTGATTGGTAGGCCTTGGCAGACTGATGATGACACTGTTCCTGTCAGGTAGGGAAGCAGGAGCAGGTACTTGCTATCCTCAAATCCTGTGGCCTCCTTTCTTGGATGCATGGTCATGGTGAACAGCTGTGGTCTAATTCTTTCCTGCCTAAGGTCAAGTCATCATCCGGTCCGGTTTAAGCTGCAGCCTTAAAGGAACATGGTGAACCCAACGGAAGACCTGCGATATTCCAACGGTGAAGGGAAGACAGGGTTGATGGGCAGCAGGCATGGAGGCGTAAGTGCTCGTCTCTCTCTCGGGCACGATGGCCCTCCGATGAGATGAAGCGAAGCCTGTGAACCTCTACTTCACATAAATTAGGCAGCCATGGACAAGTGGCATCCATGGACTGGAACTTCTGGGGGAGGTGTAGGATGGCCAGAAAGCACAAAGCCAAGAGAAGTAAGGAGATGGCAACTCGGTCGGGGAGGTCATAAAACCTGTGAATTGAAGTTCTCCAACCTATCATTTAAGCCTCGTGGATTCATATTTCACATCTCCATCTTTAAGTTGGCTAGCTAGGGAAGGTTTTTTACTGAACCAACTTTGAGCATGCCTTACCCTATATTATCCACCTCCACTTCCAGGAAATATTACCCCCCTCACTCATTGCAATGAAATTTATGTTACGGTTTAATGGCTCACAATGGACTGTCTGGTCAAATCAAGATGGCCTGTCGATTTTGATGTTGGCAATGCAAAAGGAATTAGATTAGCAGAAAGCTATGACGCAACATAGAAAATTACCAACTCTCATCATCATGTGACCATCAGAAAATAATGATAATTATAATATCTAGAAGAGGAATGAGAGTCGGCGGAGGGACTGTAACATACCTTTGAGTACTTTTGTGGAGGAGGAGGATGCCCTTTTAAATAAATGGTTCTCTTGATATGTCACCTTCAACACTTGCAACAAGTACCCGAGAAAATGCCGCCTAGTCATCCATCATCTCATATTTCCTCTTCAGCAAAATGCCATCCAAAGCAGTGAAGAATCTACATTTTATTTGAGGCAAGATAGATAATAAAGGAGAAGCTATGCAACTTTACTATCACAATCTTTCTACAGTATTATTAATTACTGAATTTAATACTAATGCAAATAATTCTTATTTCTATGACACTTTGATTAAACAGTCGTTCTCGATCAACTAGCTCTATCACAGTTTTATTTCAGTGCATCTGTCTGCACTTTGAAGGCGGTCACCTACCAGAACTGACTACGTACCAGAGATCATGAAATTTGCATCATGCGCCTGGATGCAGTGCCTCTGACGGTAAACTTCTCTCATGAGTTTACCAAAACTATTCTCGGTGAATAACAGGTGTATTCCATATTAAGGATTGTATGCATCCAATGTCTAAATACAGCACTTCTCTCATATCACAAGCATGCAACACCTAAAGTTCATGAGAAAAAAAAATGTAAGCAAGCCTTAATTTCAAACGTATTTGAGCTAAAATAACACGCATCATCAAATGGTTTGACCAATGAGCAAAGAGATGGCCAAGGCATATTATAAAAGCAAACCTATGAGTATCCAAAACTGAAACTCGACCACAAAATATATGCTTTAAAAAGCTTGCAAAGTACAGATACCAAACAAGCTAAAAATTAATATCAGACTTCTCATATAGATGCCTTGTTTTAGATACTAAACCTAACTTTAGAAAAGAAGCTACCTCAAAAACCAGCTCATTAAATTTGACGTGATTAATTTGAGTTACACCAAACAGAAGAAAGAATTTTCACAAGTAATGATGTTGAAGGGCACGGTCAAAAATAAAAAATAAAAAAAGGGAACAAGCCAAGTGTAATCACATGGAGCAGAATGGAAAGCTTACGTAAAACCACATCAAACTGACATTATAGAGTAAAATCCACAGTTTCAAACTTGACATAAGTCATTTAGACTTTACGAAGAAGTCCGTGATTGAGAGTCTCTTTGAGATATTGCAACACTCGTTTTACTGCAAACCAATGTATAACGGTGGTCGATGCATGAATTGTGATAATTTGTTGATGACAAACGAGATATCCGAACCTATAAAAGATAAGTACTATAAGGAACCAAATACTTGTCGGTATTGTGTAGGATTCGTAGTAGGGCTGTCATCATCTAATTTGAGTGATTAAATAGTAGAGAGTGGAGTGGCAATGGAAATATGTCCTACCAAAGAATATGTGGTAAAAAACATATGGTTTTGTCTTTTTCTTTTTTTTTTGCTCTAGACCGACATCTAAGCATCCAAAGAGAGGATTATCATTGCTGTATGATTTTATCAGAGCCATAAATACCTCCGCTTCCAATCCCCTAATGTCTCTGAATCAACCTTACAGTAGTTATCTGTAAATGCAAAGTATCTGTGAAGTGACCACACAGCAATTCCATTACATTCACTATATGCCTGAATAAAATACATCAAAATGCCTTGTCATCAGGACTTTCTGGTGTGATGACTAAGAAGCAAGAAATGACCTCCTACTTTCTGTTGATAGCAATGGCATAAATAATAATGAAAAAAAAAGCTCCACTATGTCTTGCTTTGTTCTTTATGTCTCAATGTGGAACTATACAACCGAGGTATGAGCTTTTTATCTACATCTGACACCTATCAGTCGTCAAATCCATAGTAAAGTCCCATGACCAACATTTCCATCAGTTGGTTAGGCTGAATTGGTAGTAGCCTAACCAAGATGCAACAGTGAACCAATGGAAAAACAATTTAGACACGGCAGCCTAACACCAATTTAATAAGTATGAATGAATATAAATCACAAAGAAAGACCTAATTCAGCAGCCAAAAGGTGATTCCTTCAGAATTCTTTCAATGTTTCAACACTGTAGATTTTCCAGTCTGCCATAATTCTTATGAAATCTGCTGAAGGTAAACATAATGTTGTGTTCGGAACTGTAAGTATTTGTACTCAAAGGATATCAAACTGTTCATATGAACACTCTACAGTAGTCAAAACAGTAGCCTGAGTGACTCACTTGAATCTTAATAATTTAACACCTATAGTTATATTCCTAGCTATCCATATTAGAACACAAACTATAATTAGCAAATTAAGAAACAAGTTCCGATCTGATCACCAATCATAATTAGCACTCAACATCGTCAATCTACCAAACAATCCCAATCCCCCGCCTCTCATCAAGAAAGCAAATTACAACTCGCAGTTCGACAGCAGCCATTGCCATCATATCTCTAACCGAGTAATTTCAAGACTCGTCCACGACGAAGAAAGAAATGAACGGGGAGGGAATGGAGGTCACCTGAACGAAGACCCGTAACCCTAGCTAGAGAAAGAAAGGGAACCGACGCTCCGCCCAGCGCCACGCCGCCCAGGGGATCCCATGGACGAGCACCGTCGGCGGAAGATCCATCTTTCGCCCGCTTCCACGGCCGACGGGCCAATGGCCGTTTCTCGGAAGAACTCCACCGCCACGGGCCGAAGGCGGTGAGAAGCCGACTCAAGAGACGGAATTGCCCTTTTGCTTCAAAGCGCACGAGAACAGGGTGCGCAATATTTTCAAGGTGATCACGTGATGCGCGCGTGACGTCCCCTAATTGGATTTGGGCCTAATGGGCCATAAAAGATCCCTTGGAGCCTATAATGTGCCCAATTAGTGTTATTAGAGTGGATATCAATCAATAATGACTATTAGTGTTCATATAGTGACTATGGTGGGATCAAAAAATCCTCTTAAATTTTCTCATCATCATAATTGTTAAATGCATTAAAGTTGATTAAATTTGTATGTCTTTATATTATAATAAATGATAGTCAAATCACTGAGATTAGCTGTGTGTGTGACTGGTGAGTCCTTCCTTGCATGATAAGAAACAGAGAAAGTAGCAGCACTGTGGTCTTAGTTGATGACCTCACAATTGGATATATTGAAGACTTTGGCAAGTTAAATAGCATTGGTTTCACAGTTTGGTCGCTCCGTGGACTAAGAAACAGTGCTCAGTGGCCTTTGAAATGATTAGAAAATTGCAATCTCTTTCAGTCTTACTTCATGGAATGGTCAAAAGAAGAGCTTCAGAAAGAAATCATCGGTTCAAACTACTGTCTAATGTCCACTAAAACATCGTGTTGGCTTTTCCAAGGCTGCTACTACCGGACATGGCCAAACAGATCAACAAGTGATGTGATCTTACAGGGCGAAGTCTCTGAGTTGGCCTCCAAATCTTCTACCTCGAGGCTGCTACGCGTCGTCGCATGCAAGCTCAAGTTCATTGGACATGCAGCTAAACTCATGCTCCAACGTCATCTGAATGCGGATAAGAGTTGAGACTTCGTATTGACATCTGACACGGGGCATGTCAACGAAAGGCAACTCAAGGCTCATACACGGATCAGTTGTGGTGCTATCTCGAAGCAAACTGCATACTTGGGACGATCGCTGTTCTTACCAAAGCATAGTCCAGGAACTGAGCTGTCTCGAGGTTGCTCAAAGACGGGCCAAAACCGTGTACCGTCAAGTGGTAACATGGTCTGAGAACTTGCTCTAAGGATGTGGCTTGGAACAAACATCAACATCTCATGGAACTGTTGACTGCTGACTGCTTTGAATTCAAAAGGGACTTGTCAAACACCTCCGGCCAGTTGCTCTTCTTATCGTGGGCGGTGGTCGCACTCACCAGCTGGGTGGTGTGAATCGCTGAAACAAATGTGAAAGAGAGAAGAATTGTATCGTTCCACCTATGATTACCTATGGCAATGGTGCTAGCTTAGGCATATTGGCAGAAAGGAGTTATTCTTTCTTGTGCTATCGAGCTGAGCTCCCTTTTCTCTCGTTCCTTCTTCTAGATTTGATATGTTCAAAAAGAACACATCCATTATTGAAGCTTGAGCATAAACTAGTGGCGTTAAAGGTAATGCTCTTTACATTCCCCAAGTAATCCACAATCGTCTTTGTGTTGTAGCATCCGAGACAGATCAGCAACCACACACGATTTGTCGCAAGATAGCAGCATCAAGAACAGATAACTGGACATCTGTTGTAACGTGCTTGTTCGACCGATGAAGCTGCGCCATCATCATTTCCACCGTCACAGATAATATCGTCATCATGGCCGTCCCTGTCACCGTATAGGTTTAGACGAAGCTGAACGTAGGCTTCGACTACAACACGCACTCAGCGAGAAGAAGGAATAAAAACGAGCCAAGGCGGAGGAAAAAGGTGGAAGTGATGACATCGATTACTTCCCATCGTTTGAAGTCTCAAGGCGATGGATGGCGTCCTCCGCCCTCGGATTTACTGGACCGGGGAAGGGGAAGCTGAGTCGGAGACATGCCAAGTGCTGTCACCACCTAACTCAAATGCAGGTGCGAGGTAGGAGTTGATGCAGTTGGTCATTAGCAAACAAAGACATCCCATTCTCGAGCCAATCTAGTGATGGTCCCCATGAACCATATGATTGGCATGTCAGAACAACATGATCTCTCTCTCTCTCTCTCTCTCTCTCTCTCTCTCTTCTTTTTCTTTTATTAATATTTTATTGAAAGCACCTGCAAGTTGTAGTGAGTTGAGGTGGAGAGCAGCAGTCATACTTGTCGACAGAGACTCGCTTAACTATTGCTAATGATAAGTCTTTTAAAACTTCAAGAGATAATGTCCCAATTGCATAAGAAATTATAATATAAGAAGAAGTTTCCTAAAGAAAAAAAAAGATAATTAGGATCTAATTTTTTTTATAAATATCTCATATATTTCTAAATTATGATGAAAAAAAAACATGAGAAATATTTTTGGTGTTTCTGAATTTCTAAAATTATAAATTATTATAAATTTTATGTAAGAGATATATAAGAAAATTTGTACTGAGTAGAAATAACTCAAATATCTTATAATTAATTTTATATAAAAAAATTTATAAATATAAACCATTCTCTTTGATTCTGGATTGTTCTTCTCTTCCTTCCTAACCGGAACAGACAACCCGAGACATGATGTTATCTCCACAAGGGATCAAATTGCGCTGGCTTGACAGTACTTTGTCCTCCTATCTAAGTTCTTTTGAGGAAATAATGTGTGAATCCACTGAGGATGAACAGTAATCGAGTATAGTCCAATGGCCGCTGCTTATTGTAGAATCTTTCTATTTGACAAGCACTATGATGGAGGAAGAAGGACGGGTGATGGCAGCAAACAGGAAGCAGCAATGCTTCCTTGTACTTTGGTCGAGGAACACCGCAGAAATCTTCCTTCCAAGGAAATATTTTGGCCCAAAGAAAAAGAAAAAAATACTGTGGGATTATGCCCCATATTAAATCGTGCAAAGCATGATCCTTCTTCTCTTTGAGGTGCTTCCCAGAAAACGAACAGGAGAGCCTGTCTGGTTATCTACCATGATTGGTTTCCCGCTTGTCCTTTTCTTCTTTGTCCCATCGCAGTTTTGATCTCTAGTCTTGAGTGGCTTTGCAGTGGGGTCTCACGATTAACCTACTCCATGAACACTGCAGGTTGCAGGTGGCTATGTCAAGGTCATCTAAGCATAGCCTTCTTCAAAGTAAGCAATCTAAATCGATGCTTTACTGAAACGCCAAGCAGGCGGCTGTCTGGATTTTAACTGCATCACTAGAAAAAGATGTTAATATATCTGCCTCCCGATCACCATACTCCATGACTCTGAATGGACAAACTGGAACGGCATCCTCACTTCAAGGGACATGGAGGACTCGAGCATTGATGGTGCCAGTGGCATCGAGGACGGAACAATCTCACAGAAGTGGTAGAGAAATATTAACATTGATGGTTCCATGTGATTCTCATCTACAGACTGTAGAAGATGTTGAGAGAACATCTTGCGTATAAGGTAGATGGTAGACTAGTAGGTGAAGCCTAAGAGAAGGTTAAAGCCTACATCACATTTCCCCACTTGGCCTGATGCGGGGATTGGATTAGTTCTACACCTAGGAGCTATATATCTTTTTTCCGCTAGGTTTTCATCTTTTCCATCGAATGATGATGAACTTGTGAGCACATATATCATGGTTAACAGGCCCTGGCAATAACAATGGCTTTGTGGTCCAAGGAAAGCTACACAATCATAGAAAAGTGCTGTCTTTTAGGCGGAGGGAGTGAAGTGCTTCTAGTGCCAATTAAGTAATGCTGGTACTTTGCTTTGCATGTCGAACTTACGGGTGAGGCTATAGGCGATGATCGCTCGCCGGGTCGAATCTTTCTGAACTTTGAATGATCGAGCAGCTCCTGCAAGGAGCAGTCAGAGAAGTCGTTGGCATGTTGGCACAACCTAAAGAAATGTGTATGACATGATTAATACCCTGAAATTTACAGGTAATATCAGCATCATATATGGGAAGCTTGGCGTCATGGAGGGTGACATGGCTCCTGCTCATGGAAGATGAAAATGAAATAAGTTGGCTTGAGCTGAGACACAGATATAGATTCGATGGTATGCATATCTGGCACTTGTAAATTTCATATCTCATTCGTGAGATGTTTATTCACAATTCCCAGAGGAAAAGGGCAAGATAGAAAGGATGTTCAAGTGCTGAGGACATGATAAAGTGTCCTGTCTCTGAAACGGGGAAAACTTGCTCCTCTTTTGTTGGACGAGGGAGACATCTTTCAAATGTGAAGCTCAAAAGGATGAGAGAAGAAATGTTACCAAAGATTCCAGCGGCTGAGATTGAGCAAAGAAGCCCCATTCTCTCTCTCTCTCTC